GTGTAGAAACCAGCGTCGTGGTAAAACTCGACAAAAGCAGTTCGATTGGTTATATTGTGTGTGGTGGCTACCGACGCTGTTCTAACAACTATGGGTGTCTGCTTTTAACGCTCATTCTAAAAGCACAGCGATTTGTTTCTTGAAACTGTGGCTGTTTGTTTCCGCGGCGAGTGCTGCGCAGTGGTGAAGTACTGCTCCGTGCCTAAATATGATCATCCACGGCCGCGAAAAAGCCGTTAGCGTTCACAACTATCCCACAGACCAGAAGCTTAGGAAGAAATGGATAGTCAAAATCAGAGAGGGAAAGCACCCTACGCCTTCATCGACCGCGTGCAGCAAGCACTTCGCTGACAGTCAATTTTGTTATACCCGCCCAACGCGCCACTCTTCGGTAAGCTTGCAACCGCGTTTCAGCGCCTCAGCAGTACTTCAGCCATTCATTGCACGCAGGCAACAAGCGCAGGAGACTTGCAGCAGCTGATGTGCTGTTCTACGGGCAGAGAGCGGACGGCGCGGCCTCCGAATCGCCTCGGGTAAAAGCGCGCCTCCTGAGCGCAGCTGAGCGGCGCATGCAAGGCATCTGAGACTCTATATTTGGTTGGTGTACGTACATAAACACGTAATTTACTGATCAAGACAAGCGCGCGCCTAGCACACCGCTTACCATAAATTCATAAGCGAAACCTGCTGTCACTGTGTAATGCACATTCAATTAAGGTTGTCACCCAAGGCGATGCAGACACATTAGGCGGAGCTCCTTAAGCTTTTAGTCATATGCGCGTGAATGCATACTCAGCCAGCCTGCCACGTTAATCATTATGGTCCTGGGCACGGTATATATAATCAGCGATAACTTATACTCTGATACGCAAGCGATGGACATGTGCGGTATTAACTTGAAGTACTTCGTGATGTCGCTCTCACTGAACAAACATTACTGCGACAAACTGGAGTCGTTTGGAGAGGGTGCAATGAGGCAGAACTTGCCCCCTCCCCGCTCAAGATTCTCTCCTCTCAGAGCGATACAACACCGGCTTGCGCCCTGCCGACAGCTATAGTCCGAGCACGATTACCTCAAATTTGGTAATTGTATGCTGCTTTGCATTTCTAGTAGATGCCACAAACGGTCCATTGACTGCCGAAGCAGCAATTTAAACAGCTGCTATGCAGTAAATATCTTATGCGCTGTTTTCGAAAGCCAGAGTGGCAGCATCAGTAGTTCTCGCTCATATCCTCATGTTCACGGTCACTATCGTTGCACTGCAATATATATATATATATATATATATATATATATATATATATATATATATATATATATATATATATATATATATTCTAAGGAAAAAGGCCTTTTAGGATTGTTGTGAAGGCTAACGTCCTTTCGACAGGTCGACGAAGCGCACCGAGGCACAGAGCAGTACTCCACCTTTGCGCAGCACTCGATCGCCACGGGGACGTTGTGTGGCGGGTTTGCAAATGTTTTCAGGACCAGAGCCATGACGCTGATGCGATATCTAGTGACGGCATCTGCTTCGCACATTCAACAACGCGGTTGCATCGTACACCACCACGCGGTCGATGAGATACCACGACGTTTCGCTAGCTGTATCTACATGCTTGTGCATGCTGGAGAAAGGCACGCCTATTGAAATTGCTAAACACCCGAGCCAGTTATTATCGCACGGCGGAAACTGCAGATCGAGAACACTCACACGCAGTTTCACTTTCTGACCAAAAATGCAGTCGGAGGCATCGGCGTGCTTATCGGTCATCTGGGAGGTTTATTGACCCCGTCGATGAGGCTGCAACTAAAACAGACTCATAATTGCGCTCGAAAACATTCGTTGTGGGCGTTAGTTGATCCTCGCGAGGCTGTTCATGCGCCAAAGTTCTCGCCAGAAGCAGACGATGTTGCGAAGCGCACCTCCGACGACGTTACGAAGGGCGCCTCTAAATCCCACCGCTGCCACCACTGTTGCGAACGCTGCCACCACTGTTGCGAAAGACGGCGACGCCAACACGGTCCCGAAGGCGCCACTGCTTCCAACTCCGCCGGGAAGGTCACCAGCCGTTTGGTAGCGTAGGTTTCTCAGCTCGCGACTGCTTCTGCGCAGAGCTGATAAGACGAGCGGACGAGACGACGGTGAGTTTAACAAGGTTTATGTACAGCATATATACAGAGGCGTTACAAATTCGGCACTGGGGCCGACAGAGACTCGGAGAGCCGAGCTCCCCTCTCTAACACATAGGTCTGCTCTCAAACGGGTCCGCTCTGACACACATGTCAGCTTTTACCTAGGACCGCCGATCGCGACGCGCCGCAGGGCTTCTTTTATTTGCACCGGGTCCAACCAAAATGTCCAATCAGAAGCGCCGCTGGTCGTCAGGGCAGACTCCTCCAATGGGGTCGCCGCGCAATGCGTCAGACCCCCAGACATGAAGACGCCAGTTGTTTACTCGACGGGTCGCTTGCCGAGGCTGACTCACTGCACGTGCACGCCAGAGAGGCGCCGTTGAGTTGTTGATCGCGTCAGGCGGACTGGCCTTGACACAGATTGCCTTTTTCAGAGGCACGGCCGTTCGCCGTGGACTCGCAGGCATAACAACGATCAGCGCACTGCAGGAGCAACGGTGGCTGCAGCGTGGTTGAGAGCGGAGTCCACCGGATGACGTGACACGCGAGAGGATGCAACTCCAAGACCTCGAGGCCAATACGTGATCCTGCGAATGCACTGAGTGCGGACGGCGCCTCCCGCAAAATCCCGAGAGATACAGACCGCCAGAACAGGCATACCCGCCAGAATGTAGTGTGTTGAACTGCTGATCCGCAGGTCGAAGGATCGAATCCCGGCCGCGTGCCCCGCAGCGATGGTCTAGTGGCTAAGGTACTCGGCTGCTGACCCGCAGGTCGCGGAATCGAATCCTGGCTGCGGCGGCTGCATTTCCAATGGAGGCGGAAATGTTGTAGGCCCGTGTGCTCAGATTTGGGTGCACGCTTAAGGAACCCCAGGTGGTCGAAATTCCTGGAGTATTCCACTACGGCGTCTCTCATAATCAAATGGTGGTTTTGGGACGTTAAACCCCACATATCAATCAATCAATCAATCAATCAATCAATCAATCGATCAATCAATCAATCAACCTTTTTCAAGCACACTAGCGCCATCAACGGACGCGTGAGTGCTTGTGGGAAAAGTTCGTACGCCGCAGCCGCGACAAGCGCGCTGGGCTCACGCTTCTTTTCAGTTCGCACCGGGCCAGAGCTTCTTAGATCAATTGAACTCGACAAGCAGTGATGTATTACTGAATGATTCACTCACAAACTTCAGTGTTTAGGCACGATGGCCTGTCTACAATTTGTTGCACTTGTCCCCTCAACCAACTGAGCGGCTCAGAAGCGTCGGTTTATTATTTTTATCCTTTAGCGTGAGTCCGACTTCGGCATAAATAAAAAGCAGTAGAACTTAGTTGCGTAAAAGGTGCAAGCACTATCCATAAATTCAAGGATGAATTAGGAATCAATGTTTTTTGATGCTGTTTACGAGTAAATTGTACGGCTCTGCTATAGTTAAGGATTGCTTTAGAAACAAGCGCTATTTTGTAAAATAAGATACATTTACAAGACCTTGTGCGCATAGCTTGCACGATATTCACACACCAACTTTTTCTGGCACTGTAACTACAGGTAGCAATAAAACACAGTGAAACGAAAAAAGTTGGACCAGGAAAGAATTATGCACACTGGAAACGCCAATTGACTGAAAGGTTATCGCACGTGCTAAAAAACATAAGTAAGAAAATGGGGGTGCATCGTGCATGTCACAGACAGGCACAAAAAGGCAAAGAACTAGGACGCGTGTGCTTACAGTTGAGCCTATAAAGTTAAGGTTTCTTGTGTTGTAATGATAGCGAAGGTTAATTCACTTAAACAAGGTGTGGTGTTGTTTATGTCTCGCCTGGTCTGGTTAGGGTGACTGTGCAAGATTACCAGGCCTTCAAAAATGAAATAGCACATGAATGAGTGAAAATGCGATTTGAAATGAGATGACTTCCTTCAATTAATTTTGATGCTCAGTGAGGCGCGTGTTGATACATCAATGAGTCTGACTGGTCTATGTTAACGCAAGAGGAATACAGTTAGCAACTCTTGCACAACAATTGGAATAACAATTGGCATGCCTCTCATAGTACCTTTCTCTGCCCACTGCAGACCCCTGCGACCTTTTGCACTCTATCGAAGAAATGATACTAAGCATATGATGCGGAAAACACAACCCTCAGCTGCCATCAGCTCCCGATTCCCTTTCCGACTGTGCAGAGCGTATGCATGAAATAACTGCAACATTTTTACTTTCTTCGTGGGTGAAGGTCGTCCGAAGTAATCATTGTTTGCAGTGCGAATGAGTTGTTCACAAACCGATGCAATAAGATATAGGCAAGACACCGCGCCTTCTTGCAGCTGATCCCAAGCGGCATTTTTCATGCATGTCACCTTCGCCAAGTTGAGAGTCGGCATTAGACTTCAGACTTTAACAACGCCTATTCAAAACATAGGCAATGATCACAGAAATCGCGTCGCATAGAGATTGATTGATATGTGGGGTTTAACGTCCCAAAACCACTATATGATTATGAGAGACGCCGTAGTGGAGGGCTCCGGAAATTTAGACCACCTGGCGTTCTTTAACGTGCACCCAAATCTGAGCACACGGGCCTACAACATTTCCGCCTCCATCGGAAATGCAGCTGCCACAGCCGGGATTCGAACCCGCGCCCTGCGGGTCAGCAGCCGAGTACCTTAGCCACTAGACCACCGCGGCGGGGCGCGTCGCATAGAGAGCTGTTTGTTTATTTCACGATGATTTCATTGTTTAAACTCTCAAATGGTGAAATGAAATCACCTGTCATAGTTCCTCATTTTCTGACACTTGTTTTTTCTCGGTGGCTACACATGTAATGCTTTGCGAAAGGAGCGAATGATGGCCCATATTTCCTGAAGCAGTCTAGTGGCATTTAGTGCTATTTATTGCATGGACTACAGGCTTGCGCATAAAGTGCTACACCACCAGAGAGTAGCAAGCATCGGGGAACATTAGGCACACAGGCTTTTATTATTATCTTCTGGCAAAGGCTTCTCTCAAAAGTCGTTTTTCAGTTAGTCAAAAAAGCAACTCTCAGTCAAGCGAACGCCACGGTGACAAAACGATCTTCCACGGATTACTAGCTTGAGCTATCTGGTATCAGCCTAGCATACGACGCGAGCGCCTCGATCAAATAGTCGCGAACGCCTTTGAAATGAGCTGGGTGTCCAAAACAACAAGTGCTTCGCGATTCTCGTCTCCGAGTTTCCATTACATCTCAAACAATGCTGATACAACTGAAAACCAAGACATATAGCTGCTTAGAATATAGCCGCGGCATTCGTTTGCGCGAGAGACGACGCGGCGGCATCTCTATACTCCAGTTGCGGCGCCTGGGGGCGAAACACCGCACTAGCACCGACGGCCGCTTCCCATTGAAATCCGCTCCTCCGACTGGACCCTGAAAAAAAAATAGAGGAGGCGCTGTCAGTAGTTATCAGGCGCACAAAGGTCACTGCAATCATTGCAGTCTCCCTTTGCGAAAAGCGCGCGCTTTTCAGATGCAGCGAAGTAACAAATGAGACGCTTATTCGCGTGCATGCATCCGCACCTGTGAGCAAGTTTCGTGCGTCATTTGTGCGTGAGAAACGCGGAACACGTTTCTTGTTCACCTATTGTCAGTGGCGCATACACACTATGGGGGATTGGCCAAGAATCACGTGGTTTTAAAAAGTATTGTTCAGATCTAGAATAATGGAGATATAATAGAAAGGTTACCGATGACCTGGGAAATTGTGGTGCTTGATCTAATGCATGTAATTGTTTAAATAAAGAAATTAATTTATTCTTAGAATATAATTTTGTTGACACGTTAGGATAATGAAACAAATTTAGTCAACCTATTAGTTTCACCAATATAGTTCCGGACGGCCGCGCATACTGTCGCATCAGAGAACCCAGAAATGGAAGCTCTAAACAACAAAATGACAGGCACAGGTAAGTCCATACTAATACCACGTAACGGTATTTCTAAAAGGATGTTTCGTAATGTGTTAAACCACGTGCAGGTTTAAAAAATGATGTGTTGTTTCGAGTTCATCACAGAACGCACACAGTGACGAAGGTGGGCAGACCTGTGTTTATAGAAAGTTAGATTTGGTACCCGGCAACGCAGCCTTGTGATAGCTACTTCTTGTTTATGAGGGCGGCAAAAGTCTCTTTTCGATCTGATTTCTATTCTGCGCGTGACCTTTCAATTTGTTGTTATCACGTTCATTGCTTCGCCTTTGCGGTAAAGTTGTGATTTTTATTAGAAGCTGAAGAAAAAAAGTAAAGGGAAGACGCCTCTTTGTCCCGTCGTGGTGGCCTAGTAGCTAAGGTACTCGGCTGCTGACCCGCAGGGAGCGGGATCGATTCCCGGCTGCGGTGGCTGCATTTCCGATGGAGCCGGAAATGTTGTAGGCCCGTGTGCTGAGATTTGGGTGCACGTTAAAGAACTCCAGGTGGTCCAAATTTCCGGAGCCCTGCACCACGGCGTCTCTCAATCATATGGTTGTTTTGAGACGTCAAACCCCACATATCTAACATCTAAGACGCTTCTTTGTGTCTCCCGTATCGACTTAGCGCCGACTCGTTAGCAGTTTGCCAAGCCCGGTGCGCTGCCGGACAACGATGTGAGAGAATGTGAAACACCGGCGATCTCCACACATTCTGCAATGTCAACACCTAACCCGATAACCGCTGCGCCCGCTTTGCTGGCCTTCAACCAGGCAGCAGCGGCCAATCGGCCGGCCGTCGGCGACGGTGGAAAGGAGAAGGCCATTAGATCGCGTGTTCAAACGTGGCAGCGCCTGTTCGCCGCTGCGGAAAACAGTCCAGCAGCATAATCGTGCGCCAAAGAGGAAAGCGCAGCTGTGAAAAGACATCAATCGAAAAGCAGCGAGCTATATTCATTGACGGAATAAGTCGTTGACGAAAAAATTGGGGGCTCCTTAAGCTTTGCCTTTAAAAGTTGAATGCGATAGCGATATCCCGTTGCTAGTGCGTACTGAGTTCGAAGTAGCTGTCTCAGTGAAGTTTCCGCACATAAGGCTGCATTCAGTGCACTGGGTAGCATGCTTCAAATCACGGGAAATTGTGCGTGTGAATTATTTTCGAGCTTGCTATGCACCCAATATATACGTGGCTTGAAGGGAAAAGGCGCAGTAACGTGTGTGCCTTTTGTAGTGGGTGACGCGCTTTAAACCGTGAAGTCATAATGGTGATAACATGTTATGACGAGTTTTATTTGTAAACTATGAACAGTTTTATTTATGTAAAGTATGATAAGTTTTATTGTGAAGTATGAACACACGAAGCGCGTGTTGGTGAGGCATGAAAAAGTTACTTTCACTGCATTCAGAAGCAGACACGTGGTGGCTGTATGTGCGCTTGCCACCCAGATGACTCGGGTTCGATCTTCTCTCAGACCAAGGATTTCTTATTTGCATCTTTCTCAATTTCTCGGTCATGCTCAAAACGACGTTTTTCGCTCAATACTAACGACGCTGAGGCCGTAATATTCCCGAAACACGCTCTTTAACGATATCGCTTTAATACAAGACAAATGCAACTACAGTCCCATTGCACCCCGCCGCGGTGGTCTAGTGGCTAAGGTACTCGGCTCGAATCCCGCGGGATCGAATCCCGGCTGCATTTCTGATGGAGGCAGAAATGTTGTATAGGCCAGTGTGCTCAGATTCGGGTGCACATTAAAGAACTCCAAGTGGTTGAAATATCCTGTACCCTCTACTACGACGTCTCTCATAACCATATATGGTGGTTTCGGGGCGTTAAACTCCACATATCATCATACAGTCCAACTGCGTACGGCCGTAAGGAAAGAAACGGTAACGATTTTGTTGAACCAATGCAAAACTATCACGCGGTTGCTGGTATAAGCACAGCACAGGCAGCCCGCGCGCGGTCTACAATTATTATTGCTCCTAAAAATGCTAGCCTTGCTTCGTAAAGCATTCCAATATGTTGCTATCGCATTCATTGCTTTGCCCTTTTGGCGAAACTGTGACTTTTTAGTTTAACATCTTAGGATTACCTAACTTCAGGCGTTTCTGCAGAAGGCCCAACTTCTGCAGACCCCAATGTTTAATTTCATTTACAGATCGCGAACAGAGCATGCAACTCCGAGTGAGATCGCTGAAAGTGCCATTGAAAAGCCGGCGGGATTCGAGGGAAGCATCCAGCGAGGGACCTGCACGATGGTGCAGCATTCCGCGCATTTTGTTTTTGCGCACTTTGCAGCCTCACCGCTAAAGCCGCTTAACGGGCTCGTAAAGGTAAAGCGAAAAATATCGCCCTGAGCTGCTTCGCTACACGTCACGACAAACGCATGTGCACCCCACGGGGCGAAGCGAAAACAACACTTTGAAATAAACAAGGAGATTTTATTTCTTATACGCGCTGCCACCATCAGAGTTGTGCGGTGTATACATCGTCATGCGAATACAACCGATCATACGAAACCAATCGCGTTCTTGGCAGGAAGATCACTTCAGATGCCCGTTGACAGCGTCACATTTGCATGCAGAATCATCACTGCATTTGTAACTTGTTTTCGTCTGAGTCCTAACTAATCTCCAAGATTGACAATGCACGGCGCGAAGCGTTTTTCTGGGGCGTGCCGTGATGGGAAGAAAGCATGATGCGCAAAATACATCACACGGACCTCTGGTCGAATCCGCCAATATCAGTAGAGCAAGAGTTCTTGCTCTACGGAGTGATCCGTGCCTGCTCTCACAGAGTTCCTTAAAATCAACTAGAGGGGACTCTGGCCCTGTGATCATTCAGCGACTATGAAAATGATGGGTAGCACACGGATTTGCCTAGTCTTCGTACTTGCGAGCCAGCAAGGAATCGAACTTGTGGCTTCGTTTATTGCTGTGTTTCGTTTTTTTTTTTTGAAGGAAAAGGACGAATTATTTTTAACTTCTTGACTCAATTTGAAATAGTAAGCCTAAAAGGTTAAGGTAGTGAAGTCCTGAATATTTGCTGCTTGTCGCTTCGTGACAAAGCAGCTGCAAGCCACGCGAAGGCAACCGGAGCCAAAAGTACGAAAATTAGACAAATCAGTCCCATCGTTCCCATGCTTGCTGAAGCGTCCTGAATTCCCATGCTCACTGAAGCGTTGCAGCTCCCATAAACACTTGCGCCAGAGTTCCCTCTAGTGTATTGATAGGAAACTCTATGGCTGCTTTCAATTCGCCATTCGAAGACAGAATGCACGCTCTAAATCTGCCATTGGACGAGCGAGAAAATTTGATCTGCCACTGTAATTGAAAATGAGCTTCGAGATGAAGAGGCCGAACAGACAGTCGACGGCTGTTTCCGAGAGAGTGCCCGGACCACGAGTCGTAACTGCGATAATGCATCGACAACTATAACTGATGCAGCTGAAGAATGTTGAGCAATGAGGAGCAACGCTTGAGAGCCATTGAATTGCTGGACAATCACTACAAAACGCCGAAGAAACAACCACTTTTTTTCCAGAATAATAACAAAATAAAAATATATGTATCAACATAACCCACATTACACTCCGACAACTGAAGTCATTATCCATATTTTGATTTGATACAAACGCCGGCGTTTTAAACGCACATATTTTGTGTCACCTGACGAAGCATGCTTGCAAAAGATTAAAGTAGCTTCGCACTATAGTTGAAGGATGTTGGGGACCTCTTTGGGTTATTTTTTTTTGCTTTTCTATTTCTCGCTGTTTTTTCTATTTCTATTCATTTCGTCCTCTCTCTGCCCTTTCGTGCACTTCCTATTTTTCCCAGTCTTTCTGCCTCACGCTTTCATCCCTTCTTTTTTTCTATTTAAGGTTTTGTGGCGTTATGCCAAGCGCAGTAGTTTGCGGATAAGTGTTCATTATTGAAGAACAACCCCCGCAGCCTCCGTCAAGGTGTAAAGTGAACGGGCGAACTGTAATCCTACTTTTATGTCACGAGTCTACGCTGCCACGTTGACACTGTTCCCCGTATCAAGGAGCAAGTTCCTGGTCAACGTCGCCAACGTGTTCTGTCTCTGTTGTCTCTCTCTTTCGACGTGTCGTTTGCTGTTACGAGTGATACGGTGACAGCCCGAGTGTCTCGTTAAAGGGACCCTTAAATTGTTCTCGCTATTTTGTACAAGCACAATGGGCCAAGTCATAAGGGTCATTTACAAGTTTATTTGAGCTATAGATCTGCGTAAACTGCGTAATTAATAACAACGCTTTAAAGCTGCCAATCGCTGCATATCACTGCATACCACTTGGGCTTGGCCAAACGCGGTTTGAACCACAGAGCGACACGCTCTGCCCCATTGACGTCCCTGTGGCTGCTGATCTGATGGACGCACGGCACATGCCCCGGGAAGACGGAACTTAGCACCGAGCGCTCGAAGGAAGCGTTGAAGGTG